AATAATAGGTTTTGAAAAAGTCTGAATTCACTTGAACTAAGAAACTTGTGTTTATTGAGTTAATTTAAATTTAAAAGGTTACTTTGAATTAAAGTTCAATTTATGTTGGTTGTTAAATTTTAAAAAGGGTATTTAAAATTTTAAAACTTAAAACTTAATTTGATGAAAAATTAATTTGATGAAAAAATTTAAGCTTTGTTAAATTGAACTATTAAAGTAATTAGATTAGTTTTAATGTCTTTAAAATTATTTTGAGAATTATCAAAGTTCATTTTTTAAAGTTTAAAGATTTTTTTTACTTATTGAAATTAATTATGATTTATTAAGTTGATTAAGTTCAATTTTAAAGGTGATTGTTAATGTTATTTAAGATATGTTGAATTTAAGAGTGATTTGAAGTTCTTAAATTTTATTAAAACTTAGTAAAATTCATTTAAATTCAAAAATATTTATTAAAGCTTTTTTTAGATTCATTATGTTTGTTAAAAATGATTAAAGTTTATTATGGTCGAAGTTTAATTCAATTTGATTCATTAAAGTTTGTCTAAGTTCATTAAAATTTATTAAAGTTTGATAGTTTATTATGAAACTTTTTAGTTAAAGTTGATTAATGTTAAAAAAAATTTTATTTAACTTAGGTTGAGTTTTAAAATTTCCTCATCTTTAGAGTTTGGGCTCAGCAATTAAAAGTCAGAGTGATAATATAGAGCATAAATTTAAAATTTATCTTTGAGATAGAGATTTGAGCTAAATTGGTTTGATTTAAATATATTTGGAGTAGACTTGGGTTTGATTTGAATTGACTTGGAATTAGTTTTAAATTGATTCAAATTGGATTGAATTGGGTTTGATTTGATGTTGATTGATTTAAATAGAAACTAAGATAGGGCAGATCCTCGACTAAAGGATAGAAAAGGTAAAGGATTTCTAGATTGAGGTAAATCCCTAACTAAAAATAACTCTAAACAGAATGTTATAGGTGAACTATCTAAAATTTTAGAAATAAAGCACTCAGTCAAGATGCTTATAACTTTCTTTCATTTTGGATACTTTAATATCTTAAAGTATTAAATAGTAAAATAGTAGGTCTCTCTTGTCGTCATAACAATGACATAAGGTAGGCCAACCTATTATTTAATGGTTTTGGAGTATCTTCATCATTAACCATGAATCACTTCATTCTATGATAGTCCTATAGTTCAAGGACGTAAGCCATGTGTTTTATATGTCCCAATCCTTAATTCTATCTACGAAGTACCTATTAAACTAACTTAAGCTTCTAGACTGGACTAATCTAGGATGTGTGTGGATCTAGGTTTTCATCTACATCCACTAATCTAGGGGTTCATAGTTTGGAGCTATCCAAGCATGTGGTATAATAAATTTAGAGTTGGTTTCTCTTATGAAATTTAGGGGTTCACAACTTAAAATATGATTTATTTAGTTCCAAGGTTTATCATTATGGTGAAAAATGAAAACTCTTTTAATGTTTTCAATTTTAGTTTTCCAAGGGTGTTAGTTGGTGTCAAAAAATCATAATTATTCTAAGATTTGAATTCAATTTTTTTATATTTGAGTGTTCTTTTTCCTCAATTCCTAGGATTTTAAGCATGTATAGTCTAAGACTGTATATTCAAAATAATTAAACTTAAACCCTCTAATTTTATAATTTTCATATTTAAAGCTCACTCATATTCTCACTAAAAATATTTTATTTTCTGTGCAAATTTTTTTTTTTTTGAAAAATTAAATTGTCATGTAAAAAGAATGTGAGTAATATGAGTTCAGTTACATATGACTCATACGCCCAGGCTACGAAATCATATGTTTTTGGGGAGAAATAATATTCATTTAGGTAGACACTTAAGTTAAAGAGTATAAAAGTATTGCCTAGACTAAGCACATTAAGAGAGCCTCACAAAACTTATCAAATACATTAGCTATGCTAAAAAGGATTTTTACTGGTAAATTTGAAAAAAAAAATTAAAAGCTTTTAAGAAGTTACCTTTAAAAGGTATTTAAATTCTTTTATTTTTTGAAAACATTGTTATCTTAATTTTAAAAGATTTTTGAGCTTTGAGCAAGATTAAAAATGTTCTTTAAAAATGTCCTTTAATTTTAAAAGATCCATAGACTTTGTTGAAAAAGGTTTTGAATTTTAAAAATGTTCTTTAATTTAAAAAAAGGAACTTTAAAAAGTTTGAACCTTAAACTTTTAAAAACAAAGTTTTATATTTTAAAATATTTTTAACGAGATTTAAATTTTAAAAACTCATTAAAAGATTTTATGGTGAATATGTCTTGAGTTTTTCTGCACTTAAAATATAAGAATTTTAGAGCTCAAATAATTGAAGCAGAAAAATATTCTTTTTCATTGGTTGTTTATATTTATAAGTGTATCTTTTAGAGCAAACCTTTTAGAGCACATTTAGTTAAAGTGTAAAAGTTTTTTTTTTGGGTTATTTATATTTAAAAAAAATGTAATTTTAGAGCACATTTAATTAATATATATATTTCTAATTGTGCATCCCAATTTGTAAAAAAGTAAAGTTGATTCAATTTACAGAAAAGTAAAATTCATCAACCAAGAAAACATACACATTCACACATTCATAGAGTCATACATGGAAGCACACATCCGTGTAATAATACTCATCACAAACCTTCTTTCTTTTTCTTTATTTTACATGTACAGTTACAACATCTTTCATCATATGGAATTACAAACTAAACAGAGCTTAACCTACATGAACATAGACAATAAATGTTACATTTTATATAAGGTATATTCATAGGGCTCTATGCCTAATCCTAAGCATACACCCATACACTTACGTCCATATACATGTATACATATATTCTTAAGCACACACATCAATACACATGCATATATGTGCACACGCACACACATTGCATACATCAATTTTACATTTTTTAACATGCATTTTATCCTAAATTTTACTTATTATTTTTATTATTTTATCATAAATTTACACTTTAGAAAGGCTTTTGTTGATGTTGTCAGGTTGAATATGAACATTTTGGAATTAGAAAAACAAACGAAAAAGCAGCCTAAAGCTGCATGAGCATGCTTGAAAGTAGTGTGACCTTGTAATTTAGTGGTGTGACCATGTAATTTGATCGAGAGTAGTGATTTGACCATGCCAAAATCTGGTCTGAGCACACTAGAATTATAGACCTATGGACCACACCAGGATTGAGCATTACCACGCTGCTTGATTTAGAAGCCCAGCATGACCACACCGCATTTCTGCGTGACCACGCTGACAAAGCAAGAAATCATTTAGAAAAAAATTCTCTTACCAAATTCTTAGATTTTGATGTAAAAATGATTATTAGGGCTTCTTGATAGAGGAGACGAGTGCTAAGATGGATAAAAATAGAGATTAGGAGAGATTTTGAGTGCTTCAACTTAGTTTCCTTCCTTTCTTGGGTTGAAACCTTTGGGCTACGTTCCACCCTATATTCTTGAGAGTTTGAGAGAGAGAATTTGTATTAGGGGGGAAGTGTTGCTCTTGTGTAGAGGACAAGTCATTATTGTAAGTTTTTCTTTTTGTTATACTTTGCAATGAAAATCTGCATTCATTTCTTGTCTGTGATTTTCTCGACGATGCGTGGCTAAACTTTTTTTGTGCCTCTGTGATGTAGAGGCAGTGATTTTTATTGTGATTTTTAAGATGTTTTTCATATAGAAGTTTCGGTGCTTTCATGGCCTATGTTGTTGTTTAACCTCCAAGTTTCATTTACTCCTAATTTGGCCAACTGGGATGCTAAAATATTTCGTGAAGCTATGACCTCTAACTGTTGTGTAGTGGAAATGAAAGGTTTAACCACAAAATCCTCAAAGGACAGACATATTCCAGTGGAATTCTGCAATCTTTTCTAGGGATCGAATCATTTCTACGGAATGCCTTGGATATTGAGAAAGCCTCAACTTCATGGATTATAGTCTTCTTTTGAACTAGACATATGCATAAGGAGAAATTATATCCTCAGTTGACAACTATCATGTTAGAAAATGTTTAGAAACACCATGATCCACCACGATCCCTGAATCACAAAGGCATAAGCCACACAACTCTTGAAAAATTCATGAATTTATCTATTTTTTCTATTTCTACCATTTGTTATCTAATTTATTTTATTAATATTTTAGAATTCAAACCTATTTTGAAATTACACCAAGCTAGGTTTACAAGATTAGTAAACTAGAGATTTTTCTGCTTGAATAATTGTTAAACCTTTTATTATGGAATCGATATATGAACTTTTAGACCACATACTACTTGATATGTGCATTTGCATTATAGAACCAACTTACTTCGTAGTAAGTTTTACCACGTCAAGTTCTTATGTCATTGTTGGGAAAGACATTAATAATTATTTCAACTTTAGGAAAACTTTAGTTCATAAGCTTAGTATCAAGATTTAAAACTTTTTTGTTTTTCTATTTCTTATTTTCTTTTGTTTTTTCTATTTTGCATCGGTTTTGTTGTTGTATTATCTTATAGGTGCTAAAAAATTAAGAGCTAAAAAAAATTTTTAAAGCCAAAAAGCAACAAAAAAAAAAAAATAATACTTGCTGTAAAGTTGTTTTATTTTTATTTTCTTCATATTTTGTATACATTGCATCTGTGTTTGTTAACTAACTCATGTGTTGTTGTAATTATTTGTTGCATACTTTATTTAGTTATAAAATACACTGGCGCGCGGCAGCTTCGCGCCTTCAGAAACCTACTATATCATTCTTCCATCTCCATCGGTGCTTTGTATTCTCATTGCCTTGGAGTTTTTTGGCGCTCATTTCTATCAATCCTTCCAAAGCCTCTCTAGCAACCTCAAATTCACTGTTCGGTTGCTACGGCGAGGTTTCTTCTTTCTCATAGCGCCAAGGAGAAGAAAGTGAACGAAAGTCACGAAGGGGGTCGAGCCTCGGCTTGAAGATTTGGTTGTCGCAAAGGGCAAGGAATTCCTAATTTCTATTGCTGGTACTGTTTATTCATTTGCTCGTTTAGGTAGAGCTGAGTCTGTCTCTAAAGAATTTTCTGGCGTTTCTCAGAAGATGGAAGGAAATACTAGCAATGGAGGGAAACCTGGCGTGTCAGGAGGCAACAAGAAAAAATCTACTAAAAAGTGCATACCAAGGGAAGAGCTTGTAGTGGGGAAACTAGCAACTTCTGAGGGGAACCCAGTTTTGAAGCCTGCTGCAGACCGTAAAGGTGACTGCTTCCAGTCTGGAGCTATTAAACGTAAGATGAGTGGTAATGTAGTTTTACCCTCGGCTAAAAGATCACTATTTAAGAATGAGAGAGTTAATCTCTCCAAAAGCTCCGGTGAAAATGAATCATCGCATTTAACTGGAGGACAAAAGAACAATAAGAATTTAAACTTTGTAAGGCCTGAATCTGTACGAGCTGATAATTGCATCCCATCCACAACACCAGCATGTGATAACATGAACCAGTCAGGAGTAATAAAATTGTTCAATGGATCAGGTGATTTTTCAAAATCTTCATCCACTGGCACTGAAGACTCAACAAAGAACAGGATTGTGACTAATGAAATGAATTTTAAACACAATAATACCTCTTTAATTCCTTTTCCCCCAAAAAGGAGAGCTTTGAGGTTGCTGGAAGATGTTGATGGTGATAAACGTAGAAATCCAGTTCACCGTGTTACTACTGTCACTTTGAGAGAATGTTCAGGCTATGGAAGAAAATCTGATATGCGGCCAGAAACTTGTTGGAACTTCCCTCAGAATGGTGATAAAAATTTTGCTGGAAATGTAAGCTCTAGAGTTAATAAATCTCCCAACAATGTCACAGGTAGCATGGGGTCGATGGAGGGTTCCTATTCAGCTTCTAGGCCTCGTAATGATGATGTGAATGTGCTGAAACGTTCTGCAGACTTGCTTGCTAGCTCAAATTCTGTTAGGAGAAAAAAGTGTAAATCCGCTTCTCCAAATGGTAGAGCAGCCAATAACGAACTGAAAAATTTAGTTAGCTCTGGCTATACTGACAATTTGGGGAGTCTCAAAGCTCTCAAGCAACATGGTAGAAAGAAATCCAGTGCTTTACCCAAATCCAACATTTCAGTACTTGTTCATAAAAACAGGTCCCATCTTAATTTTACGGCTGAGAAAGATGTTTTAGCAGGACAAAGTTCTGATATTACGAAGGAGGCTACTGCTGATTCTGCTGATGGCAAATTGACAGATACTACTTTGTCAATGAAACATCTTATTGCAGCTGCTAAAGCAAAGAAAAGGCTAGCACATTCTCATCAAAGAAAAGGAAACTTGCTACGTACTGATTCTTCAAATGGTAGTAGTGAAGTTGAGATTGCTAGAGAGACTTTCGAAAGAATGATAGAAACTTTATCACGAAGTCGAGATAGTATCAGACGAGCAACCCGTCAAGCTATAGACTGTGCTAAATATGGTATTGCAAATGAGGTTGTTGAACTTCTTATACACAAATTGGAAGATGAACCAAGCCTTTCTCATAGGATTGACCTGTTCTTCCTTGTGGACTCTATCACTCAATGCTCGCAAAAGTTGAAAGAGGCATCGTATGCACCTGTTGTCCAGGCAGCTTTACCACGCATTTTGGGTGCTGCTGCTCCTTCTGGTTCTTCTGCCCAGGAGAATAGACGTCAGTGTCTGAAGGTATTTCTATTTTCAAAAAGTGGGTTTTTCCTGTATTATTAATATTAGCTAAAGTTTGTTCTTTCTAAATTATTAAAATGTTGTGTAAAGGTTTTGACGTTGTGGCGAGAGAGGAGAATTTTGCCAGAATATATCCTTCGTCACTACATGGACGAAATTGAGTTTCGTAATGATGGCTTGAATTCTGAGTTTTCCAGTAGAATTCCATCTTGTGCTGAACAATGTGTGGACGATCCCATAAGAGAAGTGGAAAGCTTACACGTAGATCAGTATGGAAGCAATGCAGCATTCCTGTTTCCTGGAATTCTTTCTACGCATGTTTTGGAAGATGATGAAGATTTTCCGAGCAGTCCATGCAATGATACTGCAGGATTTTGTCCACATAAATTAGGTGTTTCTGAAGCCGTTCCTGGTTCTGAAGGTCGTCCAATGGAAGCGCATCATCATACATTGGAGCATGTAGAGAATGAGATAGAGATGGAAGATGAACTTACATTATCTTTTGAAGAGAGATCTATAGGAGAAGTTTCTACCTACAATTATACACTTCATAAGGAACATTGCTCAGCTCTTGAATCTATATTTGGTAATAATAATGGGCTCCTACTTTTACCGGCAGAATCTCCTCCACTTCTTCCTTTAGATCCTCCACCTTCTCCACCGCCATTACCTTCTTCACCGCCTCCCCCTACACCTCCACCTCCATCATCACCCCCACCTATGTCACCGCCAACAGTCTCATCACTGCATCAAGTTTCCTACTCCAGTTCGTCATTTCAACAATGCGGTGAAACTATACAGCAGATGCCTCCTCATTCTTCCCTGCCAGCACTGAAGATCCTAAACCATTCCCTTCCAAGTTCTCAAATCCCCTCAGGCCATCTATCTCATGGAAATTCCATGTTCCATCACGCCTCAACTTTTCTACTTGGCCAAGGAACATTTGGCGCAAAAGAGCTTCATTACCATAATCATCTTTAAGTGTACCTTTTGTACAGGATGGACACTTTAGATTAACTACTACTGATTTTTATCATCCCCAACATTATTCAGCGCCATCTCGAGCTTCATTACCAGGTGATAGTTTTGCCAATTTTACCCACACAGATTTTCGGAGGCCCACATAAATGTAATTATTCTTGATCAAGGGGTTGCTATAGGAACTGAACCACAAACATCGCTTGCTCCTTTATACTTCTTCAAGTTTATGGGAGGTTCAGAGCTTTGTATATTTACATCAGAGCTTTGTGTATGAACATTGTGGTTGATTTTTTGTTGATATTCAAAGGTGCGTTGGTAGATGAAGAGAGTTGACATTTGATCTTTTTAGGAATTTATAAATTGTAGTTTTTGCTGATCTTATACAAGAGCTGATTTCTCCGTACCAAATTTTAGGCAATGTAATTTAGAGAATGGAAGATTTGCTATAACATTATTGGCATTTCTCTATCAATTGAAATTCTGATATCTACAGAGAATTTTTAACTTCAATATATATATATATATATATATATACATATATACGTATATATATATATACATATATACGTATATATATATATACAGGAGTCTCAAAGCTCT